GTGTGTGTGTGTGTGTGTGTGTGTGTGTGTGTGTGTGTGTGTGTGTGGTGTTCTGGGTTCAATTCTACCACCCAAGCGAAGAAATAAAATACAAACGGAGAAAAATTCTTTCTCTGCCTTCCACCAGGCTATGGCCTGTGTTAGAGACTGATGAAGTCGCGAGGAGTCTGATAGATGGAATACTTACCAACAAGAAAATGATCTTCGTCCCATCCTATATCGGCATTTCTCTGATACTGGAAAAGTAAGTAGAGCCCAGAGCCCTGAAATATTAACACACACAGAGAAATGTTATTATAGACAGATTTTCAGATGCAGATGTTGCTATGGAAACTCTCCGTGCCCGGAGTGAAAATTAAGCTTCCCATGTTACTGCCTCACCCCAGGGGAAAGTGATTCCCTTGATTCTCTGGCTCCCTTCAGGGAGCACATCAACCATCTCTGCCCAAATTTTGCTCAAGGCTATTCAGCTGAAGGAAAGGCATCGTAAAAAGTACAGGGCATGTTGACATCACAAAAGCTCTGTGTGTGCATTCATGTGTGTGGGGGTGACATGTATGTGGGTGCACGTGGAAGCCAGAGGTCAGCCTCTCTGGAACCATCCACCTATGACCTCTGATTTGGGTGTATTCCTTTCTTTCTTTCTTTCTTTCTTTCTTTCTTTCTTTCTTTCTTTCTTTCTTTCTGTCTGTCTGTCTTTCTTTCTTCCTTCCTTCCTTCCTTCCTTCCTTCCTTCTTTCCTTCCTTTCTTTGTTTCTCTCTCTCTCTCTTTCTTTTTTTAGACAGGGTCTCTCATTGAGAACTGGACTCACCAATTTGGCTAGGATAGATGTCCAGCACCAGGGATAATCCAAGCTCTGCCAGCCTGCCAGGCTTTTTACGTCAGTTCTGGGGACTGAAATCATGTCCTCCTGTTTGTGTGGCCATGTCCCTAAACCCTCAGGCACTCAGATTTTGCAGCTCACTGTGACAGCGTACATCTTAAATGTCTCCCAATCCGCTCCCACCTGATTTTATATCACTTCATTTAGAACCCCAGAACCTGGCAAGAGGAATCATTTCTTCTTTCTGTCCTGGGCTTGTGAGCCCCAAAGACAGCAAAATCCCATGAAACTAATTTCCTCTACACAGCTCAAGACTGAAAGATTGAAAGACTAAAAGCTGAAAGATTCTAAAATCTGACCAGGCATGTATACGAGCAAGATATAAAAATGACGGATTGCTCTGCCTGGGAGGAGAGCGCAAACCCAGGAAGAGGAGACGTCTCAGAGCCTTCGACACTGTGGAGCTCTCCGGGTGATTTGTCACTCTGGCAAGGGGAGCTTTTTGACTCTCTTTGCACTGAACTCCTTTTAGAGAGATAGTTTTGTGATCAGAGGCCATCACGAGTCTAGTTGTTCAAAGGCCCGAGTAAGCTCTCTTCTTCCCTTGTGCTTCTCACAGCTGGACTGTCCCCACTGTGCCATCCTTCTGTCCTCCTCACAGGGCTGACAAGGGGCAAACCTTACATCAGTAAAAACACCGATATGATCTGAAATATGACCTTGTAGAAAGTGTTCCTCCTGCCTCCTCCAGCTCACTCTTCATCTGTCCACTCAGACCTAACCCTCTGACATGCCTAAGGACTCAGCCCATGTAAAGCCTTCTGCGTTTCAGCTGATGGCTCTCAGTATTCCTTTCCAGATGGCTGTGTTAGCCGCTTGGCAGAGTGATGTGTTAAAAGGCAGTTGCTTTTCAAAAGGCTCTTTAGTTTTTATTTTTATATAGTAATACGTATCCTGAGCACAAAAAAAGTGGGGGAGGGTGTGTGCGATGGATCCTGAGCTCTGGGCAACAGAATACACTGACATAGCTTCAGCTTCAGAGTATTATTGCTGTAATATCTCATACAGTGTTACTATGATGAAGAAGTGATGACAGAGATCACTGCAGATGGGGGTGGAGGGAAGGAGAGACTAAGGAAGAAACCAAGACTAGAGAGAAACTGAATGTGGGCCCAGGAAGCTGCAGGGCATTTTTTTTTAAATTGACAACAAACAGGAACGCTAGTATCAGAACTTTAAGTTGAAATTTCTCATCTTTTTTTTTTTTTTTAACGTAGGTTTCTTCCTGAACGGGCCTTAAAAGCTATAAGTCGTATACAGAATATCCGATTTGAAGCAACTGTGGGCCACAAAAGGAAAATGAAGTAAAGCATGCAGAGACTCGTGCACACCAATGTCGTGAACCCAGGCTTAGCGTCGACACTTCAAAGCTTTCTCCCACGTGTCTTAAGTGCTGTGAATGTTTTAAGTGTAGGCCTGGCACTAGCAGCCAGTGAATAAATAAAACTGATTAGCTGTCCCTCTGGTTTTCTGTGCCCATAGATCTCTCAGCCAGTTGTATTTGGCTATTTGGCAATAGGAATGCACTAAGATAATGACTATTAAACAAAGAAATGAAAGATGTGTGTTTTTATAAAATAAATTACTACCAGTCTGAAGATACCTGATAAAACAGGATCAGATGAATGGGGAGGAGGTCCCCGCTATTAGTGGACTTGGCAAGGGGCACGGTGGAGATGAGGGAGGGAGAGAGGGACTGGGAGGGAATGAGGGATCGGGACATGGCTGGGATACAGAGTTAATAAAATGTAACTGATAAGAAAAAAATAAAATTAAAAAAAATTACTAAATAGAAGTATAGGCAGAAGAGTAAGATAATAACGTCTTGGGCAGATGCTGGCAAGTTGTAGTGATTTCTCTTGGTGGCTTGAGAGTGCTTTAAGTTTGGTCCTTGTAAACAGGAAGGAAACTCTGTCTTGTTTCCTTGCCACAAGAATCAGAAATAATATTTTTGTTCTGTTTTGTTTCACAATTTTTTCTCACTGTGCCGCTTTTCTTACATCATGTGAATGAATAATGAAGTCATTTTATTTAGCAAGCTTGGTGAAGCAAATATTTATAGACTTGCAATTGTGAAATCTCAACACCTTGTTCTTTACTTTAGAAAGACCTTGAACATATCTGTTTTTCTTTTTACTCTATTAAGCAAGAGCTGAAAAAATATTCAGCCGTATACGTGTTAACGGCAACACAATCTCCCCAGATAAATCCCACTGTGCAAAGCCTTCCTGGCTTTGTTTTTGTTTGTTTGTTTGGCTTTTGTGTTCTGTGACAGAGGCCTGAACCCACAGACCTGCACCAGGTTAAGCCAACACTCGGCATTGACCTCCTTTCCAAAAACTTCCAGCATTTTCTCCTTCTGTGCTTTAATACTTTTTAAGTGAAGCTCAGAGGAATGCCTGGGAATGAGAGAGTCATATCTTTTGCCCACTCCTGAGCATTTTGAGGGTAGACATCTTCCTTATACATGCCAGGTACATTTCTGAATATTTTTCTATGATAATCTTCATGCTCTTAATTCTCACTCCTGCCAACACCGCAGCCCTTAGACTACCATCAGATAACACAGATTTCCAAGTAAGGCTCCGTCTACGTAAATCATTTAGCTAGAGATATGTCATAGAACCCGTAGGTCCCTGTGAACATGGCATCATGATTTATTGATGAGTATTTAGGAATGGTGTAAATATTTGTTTATTGTCCACTCAGATCATGAAAATATCCTTTGGTGACCAGATAGCATCTCCTCTTGTTTGGTCCTGAATCATTGTTTTGTTTATCATCAAATGAACCATTCTTCGCCAGTCTCCTACCTTTTGCCACATGAAAGGGCAGCAATGTTTCGTCCCAGCAGTGTGCCTCTTTGAGATTTGTGCTCGATCTTTTCTCCTCAGCACCTTATTTACTATTGATTTCACCAGTACTCTGGAAAGTGAATCATGCATTATTCTTTGTGTGTGGTGTGTGGTTTTGTTTTGTTTGTTTTTGGTTTCCACTCTCTCAAGGATTATTACTAATTTTATTTCTTTGGTGGCAACCATAAATTCAGCACTTCTCCAAAGTACATCATGAGTGATGAGTTTGATTTGGGGTTATATTAAATTATTATTGAGAATTTCATAGCACAGCATAGAATAACGTATCTTCCCATTATGCCTTGTCTTGAACTCTTTAGGCTCTGATCATTCTAATCCTAGAATATTATCTGTATGTATCTCTATCTCTCTGCTTTTCTGTCTCTGTCCTCTCTGTCTCTCTCTGTCTCAGTCCTTCTCTCTTTCTGTGTGTGTGTGTGTGTGTGTGTGTGTGTATGTGTGTGTGTTTGCCTTTCGTCTGAGACAAAGTCTCATGTAGCCCAGGCTGGCCCTGAGCTTGCTGCACCTGAGAATGATCTTGAAGTTCTGATCTTACTGCCTCTACTTTCCTAGTGCTTGGCCTTGGTTGAAGGCTTGATTCAGTCACTTTTGCTGGGAATAAAATGAAACCTAAACACCTGGTTCACACTGAAATGTGACCTTGGACAGTCACTTGTAATACCAAAATACCCTAAAGCTTTTTCCCCAAGTTTCTAAGCACATTTTACTTGTCCTGAAAAACTTAATCCACCTGAAGGAACCTGCTTTAGGCTAATGAAGCACAACATAGCTTTTCAAGATAAACTGTGCTGATTGTGGGCAACGGTCAGAAACAGGTGACACATTTGTGTTTTCCCACAAGGTTAGAATTTATTGAATGTCCGTAAGTTCATGAGCCACCTTCATTGGCAGCAATTTGCCAAGGAGTTGCAATTTCTCCTGATAGCCAGCCAAGCCAAACATAAGTTCTTTTATTCTGATCTTAAATACAAATGACTTTCAGATCACACACTGCACATCTCCATGAAAGTGTGTGTGCAGACAGAGACAGAGAGAACAAGAGAGAGGGGAGGGAGGGAGAGGTATGTGGTAGGTAGGTTACCTAATGGCTCCAAAAGGCTAAAGAAGCCACACCAGAGGGCAGTGAGCGAAGAGAGCTTCCTGAGAAGCAGAGGAGGAAGCTGGCAGAGTGGCAGGGGGCTGTCCATGGGAGAAGACCAGATCTGCTGGTGATACTGTCATGGAGCCCAGTGCATGCCAGAGTTGTTCTGAGCCCCAGGGATGATCTGAGCTGCAGAGGCAAGGTGGAGAACAGTGGGTGCTATAAAGGAAAAGAACAGAACTAAGTCCAGATAGACAAGTGAGCAGATCACTGGACAGCAGGCCCAGACGGACAAATGGCATACGAACAAACTGACAGCAATAGGCTGTATCTGCAGTGGGGACAGGCTGAGCTGAAGCTCCTGGGAGAGCTGGGACGTCTCTGCCTGTTGCTGTGCCGCTGACATACATGCAGCATAAGCAGATGACAGCATGGCAGAGCTGAGGTCGCCATCATGTTGGGGTTCTCCTGCTTATGGTCTCTAGATGTAATGTTGCTTCCTTTCCTTGTGCTGTTGTGTGATAAGTTCTTAGGCCTGTTTTTCCTGATAGGATTTTATCACACCCACATGCTTATAACATACCAGTTTGCTGTGACAAACTTCTAGGGTGGCCACTTTTTTGTTTTGTTTTGTTTTGTTTTTTGTTTGTTTTTATTTTTAGGAACAGGTCATTATGTCTGCCTTACACGCTGTGTCAAACAGACTGAGTTATGTGCCCACCATAGCGCAGAGTCCCTCTGCCTCTATGGGCTCAAGATGGCATCAAAACATTTGCAAGATGGAGTCTCTCAGGGCAAGACACAGCCTGGGAAAACCACTGTTTCGACCACATGGGACCAGGGAGAGAGCCTGATCTCAACTCCCAACAGCCACACATTCCTCGGGACTTGAATGGAGGAGCCGGTCAGCAGCTCAGTGTGTTAATCTCCTCTCCTCTTGTGTCTCCAAACCTCCCGTGTGTCTTTCTAAAGCCCTGGTTGCCAGTGCTCTTTGGTTCCTTTTCTTCTGGTGCCTGCAGATCCAGAGTGGGAACCACGCTTCCTCACAAAGAGAAAAATGGGCAGCAAAAAACGAGCGGCGCCCCACAGCCTAATTATTCCCAGAGGCTCAGCCTCCTAGGGGCGTCACGCTGGAAGAGAAGATCTGAGGAAGAACATCAGAAGAACATCAACACTGAATCCATAACAAGTGCCAATTTATCCTCTCGGCTAAGTCGAAACAGATTTTCCTATTCAAGGATGAACACTGCATAATTTCAGAGACAATTCTACATGGTGCAGCTTTGGATTTTCAATAGTATCTGCGTTTGCTTTGATGTGAAGACAATTTTCAGGATAGTAAATATGGGGTGAAATTTCTTTAAATCAAAAATTCCATTATAAACAACATCTGACTATAAAACCAGTATAGACTTTTTTAAATAAGTGGAGAAACGGAAACTTTACTAAGATCTTTAGCTACTCACAAAGTGGCACTTTTCTGTAGCTTTTCAAACATGTTGCCATTTGAAGAAAACCGTTGAAGAACATGCTTGTACTATTTTCCCATGTTTTTATAAATCTGAAAGTTTACAAAACAACAACAACAAAAAAATCTTAGGCTCTTCCATTGAGCCTTGAAATATCCTTGAAATACAGCCATATTTGAACTATATTTGAGGGTGCTCAGTAAACCAACATGACTAATTAGAGGAAAGGCTTTTTATTGTGGGTAACAGAGCAAATATCAGGAAAATGCCAGAGTTCCAATGTCTGGCCCAACCTGAGACCCACCTCAGAGAGCCAATCCCTGACACTATTCTGCTATGCTCACAGATGGAGCCTAGTACAGCTGTCCTCTGAGTGGCTCCACCTAAGCAATGGACCAAAACAGATGCTGAGACTCAGAACCAAAATTGAGCAGAGCAAAGGGACCCTTGTGGAAGAGTAGGGGAAGGGATAGAAAAACCTGGAGGGAACAGGAGCTCCACAAGAAGACCAGCAGAGCCAACTTAAGGTGGGCCCTGGGGGGCTTACGGAGACTGAAGCACCAACAAAGGACCGTGCAAGGACTGGACTTAGGCCCCCTACACATATGTACCCAATGGGCAGCGTGGCCATCATGTGGGTTCCCTAGCAAGGGGAGAGGGGGCTGTCTCTGTCACGGACTCTGATGCCTGCTTTTTTATCCCTTCCCCCGACATGGCTGCCTCACCAGGACACAGGGGAAGAGGATGTGCTCTGACCTGATGGGACTTGATATGCTGGGGTGAGTTAGGTGTGGGGGGGGTCCTTTTGTCTTCAAGGTAGGAGAGAGGGGATAGGGAGAAATGGGAGGGAGGGTGGGACTGGGAGGAAAGCAGGGAGGGAGACATGACTGGGATGTAAAGTGAACAACTAAATAAATAAAATTTAAAAATTAAAGCATAATTAGATGTGCACAGATGGCTACAGTTTCTTCTTGTAACACTCTTCCTGTGTCTACATAAGCTTATCAGGAGCTCTGCCTGTACTCTGTACACT